GTCGAGCACCCCAACCACAGCCTCAAGCAGCTCCTCAACCCAAAAATCGTTAGCAACTCGGACCTGCACCGCAATCGTATATGTAAATGAACATGGATTATTTGAAAAACGGCCGTCCGAGCAATACTTCTAATTTTCAATGAACCAGAAATTTGCATTTCAAAGAAATCGTTCGTAACTCGGACCTGAACCGCAATCATATATGTAAATGACATGGATTTTTTGACAAACGACTGCTCGAGCGATACTTCCACTTTTTTAGTGAATGGAAATTTGCATTTTTTCAAAAAATTTGCGTTTGTCATTTTTTCACAAAGCGAGCATTTACCGAAAAAACGACCGGACTTCATGCAAAAAGCCGGTAATCATGCACCTGGATGTCCGTGTGGCTCTATAATGCACCACCTTCATCCCAACTGACGCCTTCCTGCGTGCCGGAAAGGATCAGAGCTCGGCCAATATGACCCAAGGTTAGGCTACAGAGTAGGGGTCATTCTTGCTAATAGCAGTCTGCGAGTTTAGTGCAAAAACGCATGATCGCACTGGAAAGCCTGGAGCGTCCCAGCCTGGGTTTAAAATTAGGGATATTAAAAAAAATAATTGGCCAACGCACGGGCTGCCCATGCGGAGATGTGTCTTTTGCACAGTTCCCTGCAAGTTGTGTCGCTACTGGCACCGGTTTTTTCGGCAAATGCTTCTAGCTTAACAAATTAAGACTGGCCGCCAGAACTGTCAGGAAACACCCCATAAACTTTCAGCTTTCTTGCTTTCCTGGCTGCTGAGTTAGCAACTTACTGAAAAAAAACTTTCACGGGCTCGTACCTGGGTGGCACGCATGCCCGATGTCTGGGTTTGAGCTCGTTGACTTACGTGGACGGGGAACATCCTCTTAAAACTACAGCCTTCTAGCTTTTGAGATTCCCGAGTTAGCGACTTACCCGAGAAAAATTTTGGTGGGTCCGTACATGGGTACCACGCATGCCCGGGGGCTGGCTATGAATTCATTAATACCTACTTGGTCGGGGAACGTCCCCTGAAAGTTTCAGCCTCCCAGAATTTCTGGTTCCCGAGTTAGCAGCTTACCTGTAAAAAACATTGACGAGCTCGTACGTGGGTACCACTCGGGTAAGGACGCCCATTTTGGGGATTGGGGCCCGTACGTTATGTCCCCAAAGTTTCAGCCCTGCAGCTTTTGTAGGTCTCGAGATGAAAAATCGGTTCAGGCGCAAAAATAGATACACAGGCACACGGACACACAGAAAGCCCCTCGTCAATATGAGTTTTTGCATTGCATAGCTGTAAAAAACGCATAAAAACGTCTTGATGCAGTTTTTTATTGTTTCCCTTCTGTTTCTTAAACTATCCATTCACAGTATCCTGTAATACTTTGTGTTACCACTGAGAGGCTATTGTTGATTGCTTTTCCCATTCAGTTGAGATACTGTGAGTTCCTATTTTCAAAGTAGTTGAGCGGCTCGAAATAAGCGGGCAAGCCCTATACTGCATCTTAATAAATTGAAAGTTCCATGTAACGATTGTGAAGGATACTGCGTTTATTTGGCGAATGATGGTGTGGCTAAATTCAATTAATCTTGTTCAGACAGATCTGGGCAGGACATGATCAAGCATCGATTTCAATCTTTAATATAACAGCGGAAAATCATTTCGTACAGGCCACAGACATGTCACACGATGAACATCAATCGTCTAGTAAATGCTCCGTGACACATTTGCTAACTACACGAACAGACACGTCACTGCTTTGGTCTGTTCTTTCACCAGGCAGCAAGGTTAATTCATCATATTTTTTTAAGCGAATAAAGAAAATTATCGCTGCATTGGGGGTAATGTGACACGTATAGTATTTTTCTTTGAAAAAACAAGAAAGCAGAAAACGAACTACAGGTTCGCCAGTGTGTAATCGCCCTCAAATCAGTACTGCAGTTACGGTAAAGTAAGATGTGTCGATGACGCAAAAATGTGATACAGTGGCAGATCAAAATATTTTTTGAACATATTTATATATGCGCGGACGTATCATTCTGAATGTTTATTAGGTGGTGGGGCTCAATACACACCAAATTCAGCGGCTAAAATCTTGCCAAATACTTTAGTAGCTGGAAAATGCTTTTCAGAACTGTCAAACTTGTAATTCTTTTAAAAGATGAAACGAATGTCTTAATCGCTAACAAGCTAAGCATTAGGCAATCAGCATTTATCAGAGCAACTGGGAAATTTGCCAATTCCACAGCTGAAGAGCCTGACTATGAATTATTACTAATTCTTGTTTTTTTGACCATGATTTGGCTCCTGTGCGCTTATTTCCGTATATTGTGTAGCAGGTGGGTGGATTTGATACAATGAGCATTTATAATTCTATTTGTTATACATATTTCCAAAAGTTATCCAGCTCTTTGGGAAAGTTAAGCATTGTTCTTAACCA